CTGCTCCTCCCCAGGGGAGGAAGGAGAGTCTCCCTGGATCTGCCGCTTGTTGGGTCCCTGCTTCCAGAAAGCGGTCGCTTTTCTGTTCAGAGAGTTGTTGGTATTCTTTTCTTCGATCTCCTGTTGAGTTTGTAGGTGTTCAGAATGGTTTGGTCCCTATCCAGCTGAATTCCTGAGACCAGACGAAATCCAGGTCTCCTACTCCTCCGCCATCTTGCTTCACCCCCAGTAAAGGTGAAGTCTTAACTGACGGAGACAGAGTTCTTTTTCTCTTCCTTCTTTTTTTTTTTTTTTAATTGGAGATGACTGAATGATTTAAGAATTAATATTAAAAGAGGATTTTCCTGGAAAAGACTTGGAGTAGCTTTTTTGCTCTTTTTGGCTCTAGAATTTTAAACCAAGATCGTTGAAATTTAGAAAAAGACAATAAATGGTCTATATTTAGGACATAAAAGATTGTGTAGTTTCTAAAGTGTGAATACATTTTTTGTCATGCATTTAAACAAGGTGTGAATGAAAATTAATATGTAGAATGCATGCCTTTCCTGAATATTTATAGATTTTGGGTACAATTGCTATAATATTGAAAATATTTTTCGTTGTGCATTTTGTTGACTGGTATTATTGGTATTTCTCAATTTTCCTTTAGAAAATATTTTATTTTTAAAATTTATTTTATTTTTTAAAGATTTTATTTATTTATTAGAGAGAGAGAGCATGAGAATGGGGAGGGTCAGAGGGAGAAGCAGACTCCCTGCTGAGCAGGGAGCCTGATGCAGGACTCGATCCCGGGACCCTGGGATCATGACATGAGCTGAAGGCAGTCGCTTAGCCAACTGAGCCACCCAGGCACACTGGGAAGTATTTTAAAATGAGTATTGTGTCACCCTTAGTGAGAAATGGCCCAAGCAGCAATGGCAGTCAGTGGCAATCTACCTCAGTAGTATAACATCCTTGAAATGTGATCTAAGAGAGGCTTAGGAAACTGGGTTGGAGGGTTAATAAGGTGCCAGTGAAAGTCTTGGCAAAGCCAAAAATTTACAGATGAAGCCAAATTCAGAAACTATAGTATAGTTAACCATCAGGTTTCAGAGTGTGGGTTCTTGATATGCTTTTTCATGCTTTTACCCTATCTCCCGACCCTTCCACCAAACTTACTCTTAGGTTACAGATAGCTAACCCTATTCCAGATGTGCTTGGTGGACCAGCAGCATCAGCATCACCGTTAGTTTGTTAGAAATGCAGAATCTTAGCCTCTCTCAGACTGACCAAATTAGAATCTCCATTTTAACAAGGTCCTCTGATGATGTGCAAACACGTTAAAGTTTGACAAGTACCGCACTCACAGATTGGTAAGAATGGAGGTAGATCTCAGTGAGAACAGGCATTATTATCAAGTGAAGAAGACTATGGGCAGGATAAACAGCAACTTTAAAGAAATCAACAAAAACAAAGGTAAGCGTCACTCAGCCATTTAGAGAATGTAGAACAGAAATAGTAAACAGATTTTATTGGTGTGTTTACTCTAATCCTCTGGTAATGGCTGCCAAGAACACTGTATTATGAGAAAGAGAGTGAGATTAACAGAGATATCTGCCAAGGGCTTGAGCACTGGAATGATATATATTTGCCATCTTTGGTTTTGAAGATTGTTGGATCATTATACATTCTTATAAGACCCATCATGTATCCCCCCGCCCCCCACCTCCTGTGTTTTATTTTGGTATAGATGAATACAACTGTTCCTTGGTTCTCTAGGCATCTTTTGTTACAGTAGTTAATATATATAAGTGAAAATTTTACTTTTTTCATTAAGGAAATCAGCCATGTTTCCTAGAAATACACTGTATTCCCCCGCCCCCCCCATTCCCTTAGCATTGACTGGATTTTCCCCAGTGTTATATTATTTTGTAAGTAAGATTTAATCCCCTCTTATCTATTATCTAGTTTTGTCATCTTAGATTGCTTAACCTTGCCACTTCTCAGTTTTCTCATCTGAAAAAAAAAAAGAGAGAGAGAGAATGTTGGACTTGATCTCTGTCTCTTTCTGTTCTTAAAATTCTGTGGATTTATGTTTCCTTTTGCCATCTGAAAAAAGGAATAGATCTATAGGGATTCTGCCCAATTTAAACGCTGCATATAAGGAATACAGGATTTTTTATTGATGATTTTATTTCATGATCTTTCTTTGTTCATTTCTCTGATCTTAAACTTTTATAGATGGTTAAAGTGGAAAGAGAACTTTAATGATCACTTTGCCTTTGGTCTTTCCTCATTACAATTTCACCATTCCCATCTTTACAGAAGTAACCTTACTAAATCACTGTTTTCTTTGGGTTGTTTCTCATACAAAAATTTGTATTCTAAACTCTGGAGAATATGGTCCAGACCTGGCATTCAAGGCCTGTGAAAAGTGACCGATCCTAAGTGCATAATTTTATTTTCCTTTGTTCTACAATGTGAATATTTTTTCCCCACCAGGCCAGTTTCCTTCCAATCCTATATATAATATCCTTTTCCTAACCTAATTTCAACGTAGCATTTAAAATCCTTTTTAGTTCCACTTGTTTGTGAGGCTACAGTTTATCATATACGAACTAGTGACTTATCTCTATTGTCTTGTATTTTTAAAAACTGTTTTGTTGTCATTTAATTTTTTATGTTTTTCGCTTATCTCCCCAAATAAATTGTAAACTTCTTGAAGCTAGGGGATCCTGCTTTTTGATGGTTTTTGTTCTTTTCAGTTATAATGTCAGCATGCAATCAGTATTCACTGAAAGGTGCAGGAGAGATTTTACAGTTTGCTATCTTTGTTGTTGAGATTGCTACAGTGAACCAAAACCTTATTTTGGAAACGGAAAGATCCAATGACATCAGTGAGTAAGAAGGTATAAGGTAGAAATGGGAGATAGGGGGCACCTGGGTAGCTCAGTCAGTTAAGCGTCCAACTTTTGATCTCAGCTCTGGTCTTGATCCCAGGGTCGGGAGTTCAAGCCCTGCATTAGGCTCCATGCCGGGTGGCTCAGTCAGTTAAGTGTCCAACTCTTGATTGATCTCAGCTCAGGTCATGATTTCAGGGTCATGAGTTCAAGCCCTGTGTTGGGCTCCATGCTGGGTTGGGGCCTACTTAAAAAAATTTAAATAAATAAATAAATAGGAGATAGGGATGTTAGACTCATTTGGCCATATTTTTAAAGATAAATGTAGTGGATAAATTATCATTTGAGGTATTCTTTTCCCCTATAACTTTTCCTCAACACTTCTCTTAACCAAAAATCACAAGCAGCTCTTACTCTTCTTTGATAATGGAATAGGGGAAGATGAATTTTTATTTTTTCTTTATTTTTATTTTTTTTAAAGATTTTATTTATTTATTCATGAGAGACAGAGAGAGAGAGAGGCAGAGGCAGAGGGAGAAGCAGGCTCCCCGCAGAGCAGGGAGCCTGATGCGGGACTCGATCCCAGGACCCTGGGATCATGACCTGAGCCGAAGGCAGACGCTTAACCAACTGAGCCACCCAGGCATCCCGGAAGATGAATTTTTAATTATCAGAATGTGTTGTGGAGTAGAATAACTGCAAACAATACAATAAGAAGTTGGGGCACACCGAAGTTAGTCCTTGCTTGCTAAACCTAGAAACAAACAGAAATTTGAAAGTGATTAGAATTGTTACTGTTAGAAAATTTCACAAAAGACAGTTTTCCCAGCTGTAAATGACACCTGATTTATCTGTGTTACCTCTTTCTCATGTTTTCCTCCTCTCTTCCTCCTTCCTGTCTTTTCTTCTCTCCTTACAACTGACACGCTAGGAGCTGTATGAAGATGACTAAGGTGTATTTTCTGTTCTCAGGGAGCTCCGTGTCTAGTGATACTGGCCTGCACAAGGACTTGAAGTATCAAAAGTGGTATCTCAGTAACTGTTAATCATGACATTTCATTAACCAGGCTATTTATCTTCCATTCATGGGGAGAATAGTGTTTCCTGTATATTCTGATAGACTTCTGACAACAAACAAGTCTGCTTTGAGGCTACATTAAAGGCATTGTGTCTCCTGTCATCCTTTGCAGCATTACCATTTTACTATACAGATTAATATAACATTGCCTTCTGGTTGTAAATGCCAAATGGAGGTGTCTTTGGAGTTTATTTCGACTAAAGTCATACTTTACTGATAGGGAAAAACTAAGACCAAGGGCTGGGGAGTTAGGATTATTCTTTTATCGTATCTGATCCTGAAATATCCTTTCCTGTTTTCATTGATCTTTTCTGTAGCCAACAGACCTAGTTTTTCCACATAACGCATGTTCAAATATTAAAACAAAATTGTTTTCTCCTGTAAATCATCTCTTTTCTAGGCTTAAACAACCTCGGTTATAACAATTATTGGTTATATGATGGAGTTTCTTAATTTCTCACTGTTATTGACAGTTCTTCTGGTTAACCTTGGATCTGCCAGTCCCCTTAAAATACATAGTATATATTTATGAAGTAACATTAAAGGACTATAGTTTCACGCCAAGAGAGAATGACTTGTGTTGCCTCTTTCCCCAAGTTTATCGATAATTACATTGTTTTTTTAGTATTCCACCTCTGAATTACTCTTGAGCTATCTGGGGTAAACATAAGGCTGTGATTCATGGTTGGCTCAGTTTCCCATTTGTTACAAAGTTTCATTATAGCTGTACAGTTTTGAATTGAATTACTGGTCTAGAAACTATACCAGCTTATTATTTTTTCTTTTTAAAATTTTGTTTTCAATGTTATCATGATTTATTTACTTGAAACTTTTTTCTTGCTTTTTCTTTTTATTTTCTTTCTTTTTGATTTTATTATTTTTTTTATTTTACATTACAGACAAACAGAAACTTCCTCCTTTCATCTTTCCATTCTCTGACTTATGATAAATTTAGTTTCCTTTGGCCTGGCATTTGCTTCAGCAGGCAGTCTTCCTTCAAGTACCTCCCTGATTGATGTATAATCTTTGATATCTTCCATTAGCCTCCAGGATCACTAAGTTCAAGGCCCCCTTGGAACCTAAGGAGCCCTGCCGAGGAGCTGAAGGCCTTCAGAGTCCTTGGGGTGATTGACAAGGTAATTCTTCAGTGTCTCTTCAAGAGTTCAGTCATAAATCGACTGCATGCTGACATTATGTCTTTGAAGCTCTGGATCTTAAGGATATGAAACAAAAGGAGAAAATGACTCAAATGCATCTGCACTTTAAAATAACAAAAGCAGAAGAGAAAAAGCTTTTATCTAAGCAATTCATGTAAGGTCATGCAAAATATATTTGAGCTAAAGGAGAAGATGCATATTTGTTGGCATTCAAGTTGAGTAAGGGTTTGGTTTTATAAACCTGTTAGAGCAGGGTAAAGATACACTTTTTGTTAGTTACAAAGACTTGTTAGTAATTTTCAGCATTAACTGGTATAGTCAATCTAATGATCAAATAGAAAAATGGCACTCTCCTAAGAACTACCATTTACTGAGTACCTACTATGTATCAGGCCATCTATTAGGCATATCATATAAAACAACTTGTTTAGTCCTTCCCACAACCCTGCTTTTCCCATCATGGTAGGAAAGTGATAGTTAGAACAGGGTAAGTAACTTGCCCAGAAGTCACATAGCTAGTTTAGGGTAGTACTGGAATTCAAACCTAGATCTTTGTGAATCCAAAGCATTTTTTTTTCCTAGTACACCAACCCTCACCCCCCACCTTTATACACACATACTTTTGTATCTGGAATAAAAATAAAGAGATAACAGAGATATCTGCTTTTGAGTTTCCCCAAATTTGGTGACATCTCAGATACGCTAAAAATTCACAATACTGGCTGAGAGCTTACAAGTGTAATTTAAAAACCATACACAGTAAACCATGTCTTAAATGTATTTATCAACCACCACCTTACCTTTCAGAGTAAAAGAAAATGCTTTATTTAGTATTAAGGTATAAATTTAGGTCTTCTTTTTATATTAACCACCTTTTATGAAGCACCTTACTGCTCGTTTGTAATTTACTGTTCATTGAGTACTTCTTACGTTCTAAAATATGCATGTGATTTGTTGCTAAAACTAAACATAAACAGTATATCTCAGGCAAGTTAGACAGGAACTAATGGTTTGCGATATTCCGAAGGGAATGTTAGGTTGGATATTACATGAAGTTCTCAGTGTCTTATTAAATCTTATAAGTATCATTTTTCTCAAATTCGTATAACTGAATTTTGACTTAAAGAATTCTAAGCAGTAGTACTTTTCAGCCTGAAACATTTCTTTAACCATGTTTTTCCTAGCTCTTCCAGTTTGGAGAACATTCTATTTGAGAGTACAGGGAAGCAGAATAGGAACTGACTAGTTCCCAGGTTCTTGGATTTCTGTATGAGCAAATACACTTTTTTGATGTACAGCGTCTGTTCCCTCTCTTTGATGTATTTATTTTGATAAAGCATGACCTTTCATTGATATGCTCTAATCATGAGTAAGTCACCTTGAAGTCCTGGTAATATCTATGAGTCTCACAGGTTTATCCAAACAAGCACTTTCAGCAGTGGAGGAATTCTTAAATTCTGTGTTGAGGCACAATTTGCCACTGTCTTTATTCTGTTAACCTGGGAAATATGCTGAGAAGGTGTTGAGAAGGTGACATTTAACTTTCTAAGTAGAGATAAGGAATATGTATTTGGGAATTAATAAGCTTTGCAAATAATCTTTTAAAATTTACAACAGAGTCACTCTTTATAAAAAAATTACTAGATTTTTAAAAATTTGAATTATTTTAAGATAAATTCTTTTCCATTTGGGTTTCAGAAACTGGAACTTTGGAAGAACAGTGTTGAATACATTGAAACGGCTAACAGATACACAGGATATATTAATCTAAGCCTGTACAGACCAGTTTCTCTGATTCTGTTTCATTGCAGTATTTGTTCTTTATGAGTTATTTTGAATGTTATTGTCTATAAACTTAGGAAAATAAAATGTCCCTAGGAATAGTATTTTACAGACTTTTAAATAGAAAGTAAATCAAATCTGTTCATCAATATCTAGACCGTAAGCTCCATGAGAACAAGATCTTGTCTTTCTTGTTCTCTGTATTCTCAGTGCCTAGAATTATGCTTGACACATAATGGGTGCTTGATAAATATTTGTTGAAGGAATAAATTGAAACTTGAATAATTTTAAATATATCATATATAGAGTGACACCTACTGGTATAATGTGAGACTGTTCCCTAGTACCATTGCTCAAGACACCCAGAGAAATAATAATTCCATTGCTGTATCTTGGTCTAGTATTCAAAGGGAAATAAATGACTTTTTCTTCTTCAACTGGGATAACAAAATCCTTCATTAACATATATATGCAAAAAGGAATTTAAGCATTAGGGCTCTTGGAATATAAATACGCTGGTGTACATTTAGAAGCAAGAATGATAAGGCTAGTGAAGGGGCCCTCAAAATCATATACAAAGAATAGCTGAGAAAATGAAGTATGGTTTACCTGATAAAAACGTGTGTACTTCAGATTTTTGAGGGCTACCCAGGATAATGTGATTACATGATGTTTTGTGCAAATCTTGAGGATAAAAGGGAATATTATGCCCACATCAAAAGGTACAAACTATGATCACCTTAGGCAAACCAGGGTGTATGGCTTTCCTGGAAAAAAGGTAGTGAAGGATAAGATTTGCTTCTTAATATCCCCAAAGGATACAACCAGAACTAAATGAGTACAAGTTTTCAAGTTTAGCTAATGTTTAAGGATACCTTTTAAGAATTAGGATTGACCAAAGGCAGACTGGATTCCATCATACTTACTTGTTTTTTGTCGTTAGAGATATTGAAAGCTGAAGGGTCATCGGTGGGGATGTTGTAGAAAGAATTCAAGCACTGGATGGGCTTTTACATTAGGTAACTTCTAAAGATTTCTGTTATCCCTCACATTCACTTGCACATAGTCTTCATGTAGTAATAGCAAGGAAAAGTAGAAATTAGAAAGCCAGTACTTTGATGAGAAGGATGGATTGCTCTTGTTTCTACCTAAGTTTGTGCATGTGTGCATGAGGTATGTATATATAGGGTGTGTATATGATTGTGTGTATAAGGACTGTTTATATATAGGTAATTTGCAGTTGAGTTAGAAGTCTGGATTGGTCATTTGACTGGTAATAGAATGCCCAAATGCAGGGAGAGTTTCTGAGAAAGTTCAATATTGTATAACTTACCTACAGAAAGGATAAAGATGTCTATAATCTAATAAATAGTTATGTACTAATGGCAGTTTCCTGGTCTTGATATTGTGCTATAGCTATATAAGATATCACCATTGGGAGAAGCTGGTACATGGGACTCTACTATTTTTGCAACTTCCTGTGTGTTTAAAAAAGAGTTAAAAAAAAAAAAAAAGGCTTGGAAGATGCTGACTTGAACAGCAGAGTAATAATACCAAGATATGTTCCCTTCATGTCCAGTTAACTCTTCCGGGTTGTATGTATCCGGAGTCCTCCTGCATGTGGGTATGTGTCTAGTGTTTGCAGGGTCAATCAGTGAAGATAATGGATTGCTCAAATTCATTCTCCTTAAAAAACAACTTCAGTAGGATGCTTGATAAATCATTGTTATAAGAGATGCCACATACTTTGTAAAACTAATCACTATTACATCAAATGCCTTGGCATTTTGTAATCAAGATATCTTTTCAACTTTATCTCAAGCTTGGCAGGCAGAGTTCTTAGTTTGACTTGCTATTGGAAAAATGTAATTTTAGCTAAAATATTTTTGAGAAAATTTATGTAGATTGTTCAAATTGAGTAGATGTTGAGAGAACCTTAAAAAATAAGTACAGGGCACCTGGGTGGCTCAGTCATTAAGCGTCTGCCTTCGGCTCAGGATATGATCCCGGGGTCCTGGGATCGAGCCCCGCATCGGGCTCCCTGCTCGGCGGGAAGCCTGCTTCTCCCTCTCCCACTCCCCGTGCTTGTGTTCCCTCTCTCGCTATGTCTCTCTCTGTCAAATAAACAAATAAAGTCTTTAAAAAAAAACAAAAAATAAGTACAGGGGTGCCTGGGTGGCTCAGTAGGTTAAGCTTTTGACTCATTTCAGTTCACATCATGATCGAGCCCCCCATCGGGCTCTGCCGGGCATGGAGCCTCCTTGGGATTCTCTCTCTCCCTCTCCCTCTGCCCCGCCTGTCCCCCACTCACATACTCTCTCTCTCAAAAAAAGTACAAAGTAAGTACTTATTTTTTAAGTTTCCTAAATAATATTTTCTATGATGATATGTAGATAAAGTGTCCTTATTGGGAACACAGAAGCATCAATATTTGGGTATTTGCTCATTGAGAGAACATTGGGTTGAACTGGATTAAGAGGAATTTGAAAGATTTATTTATTTATTTATTTATTTGACAGAGAGAGAGAGATAGCCAGAGCAGGAACACAAGCAGGGGGAGTGGGAGAGGGAGAAGCAGGCTTCCCGCCGAGCAGGGAGCCCGATGCGGGGCTCGATCCCAGGACCCTGGGATCATGACCTGAGCCGAAGGCAGACGCTTAACGACTGAGCCACCCCGGCGCCCCTGGATTAAGAGGAATTTGACCTTTATTTAAACAGTGTGGCAAAAATATTACTTAAATGATATCAAATTACAAGTGTTGCACTTTTGCTTGTAGAAAGATGGAATTGCTTATAGAAAGAGATCCTTTTCCATGTTTTTTTCTGCTAAGTATAACTAAAACTCTGGATGTTATACAGAAAACAAACAATAGGAAGACTGGAAACTAGAGAGTAGAAGGAAGACTGGCTAATGACATTGGGATCCAATGACTGTGTAGTGGTAAATTCCCTGTACTTTCTTTTCCTCACAGACTGGATGTTGGAGAAATGAGCAACTCAGCAAAGCTAACAGGAATAGACAAAAAGCAAACTTAACAAAACCCTGCTCTTTCTAGGCAAAGGACTATGAAATGGGCAGCTTAGTTAGACAGAAAACTTAGACAGTAACCACCCTACTCCAGCCAACACCATAGAAAAACTTTGGCACTACTGCACTGCAATCGCAAAGGCCATGTGAGGTGCCTATACTTTCATCC